TAAAGCCGGCGGGGCCCCGGCGCTGCCGCCGCCCCGCACCGCCCGCAGCGCGTACCTGAGCCAGCAGCGCGGCGGGGAGCGGCTCCGCGGCCGGCACGGGTGAGTCGGGGGCTCCGCGGGCACCGCCGCTCCTGCGGGGAGGACAGGAGAGGAGGGGGGTGAGCAGGGTGCGGGTGAGTCCGCTCCCCATCCCTGTCCCGGTCTCGATCCCTACCCCGGTCCCGATCCCGGTCCCAATCCCTATCCCGATCCCGGTCCACATCCCGATCCCGGTCCACATCCCGGTCCCGGTCCCTATTCCTGTCCCCATCCCGGTCCCTATCCCCATCCCGGTCCCTGTCCCTATCCCCATCCCGGTCCCTGTCCCTATCCCGATCCCGGTCCCTGTCCACATCCCGGTCCCGGTCCCGGCCCGGCCCGCGGGGCTGTGCGCGGCGCCGAGCGCTGCCGCGGAGGTTGGCAGCCTCCGAGGGGGCTTTTCCTCGGAGCGGGGCTGGCAGGAAGGGGAGCGGCGATCCTGGGCGCCAGCAGCAGAAAGCGAAGCCGGGAGGAGGGGAAGAGTATAACCCTCGCCCCGAAGGATTTTTCCTCCCGCCTGGGGGCTGGAGCCTTCCCGACCCCCGGCCGCACGGGCTGGGCCCCGCAGCGGTGCCGGGGGATGTTCGGTGGGGCAGCCGGGCACGGTACCCGCTGTGCCGTGAGAGCCATGTGAGCTCTTCCACTGTCGGGATGGCTCAGGCTGCCTGCCCTGCTCGCCTACCTGTCAGGCAGGTCCCTGCTTAAACAACCGAGGATCTCTTAGCAGAGAATAATAAGGTCTGGTACGCCTGGGCAAGGCGTACTGAGCAGCAGGTAATCGAGATCCTGCAGGAAGATAAGCTCAGAAGTGTACCCTAAATTTGTTTCTGCACGACTGGAAAATTGCGTCTGTGCATGCTCGTTTGCACAAGCAATCACCCACCTTCAGCTTACCATTCCAACTGTTTCACAGGAGAAAATTAGCTTTGGGCACTTCTGTTCCAAGCAATTGCATGGGAAAACTTGTTTGGAAAATGAGATTATTGTGCACTCATCGTGTTTGTGTGTTCACCCACTCGAGTGAGCTGAGCAGAGCAGAGCAGAGCTGAGCAGATACACGCTGTGGTGGTGTGTGCTCTGCTGGGGATTTGCCCCTCATTCTGCAGGGACAGCCTTTGCTGTGGAGCAGAGAGCTGCTGAATCCATTCAGGAGGCAGGCTGCAGAGTGGCTAAGGAGGCTGGCAGGGAAACGGGGCTGTCCCGTGTCAATGGAAGCCACCGTGTGTGCAGTGGGACTGAAGGGAGCAGGGGTCCATGAGAGGGACCTGTTCTCAGCCCCAACTCTGAGACAAGGCACAGGGCTTTGCCTCTTTTGCTTAATCACACTGGATTTTTGCTTCACTGGAACCCAGATTATTTATAAAGTTATTATGAAGTTCTTTGGAAACCCTCCCTGTGGGACCCTCTGTAGCATCTCTTGATGGTAAAGATTTTTATTTCTTCAAGGACAGGAGCAATTAATCCCAGGCAGTGAGTGTGCAGGCTCTCAAGAACAAGTAGAAACTGCATTTCACAAGCAGATTCTTGCAATCTCTGCAGGAATTCATTAGATTGTTGTTGTTATCAGCAAAAAGCTGTGTGGGGGGAAATCTCTAGATCTCAGCCTGATATTTGCCACCAGAATATGGATAAATTCAGCCTCATCCAAAATGCAAACTTCCCTCTGCAAACCACGACAGATCTTGGTGTCTGCAGTAAAACAACACTTTTCATTGAAGCAGGCAGGGTATTGCTGCATCCAATGGGAAAAAGCTGTTGTTGATTTTTGTGGAAGTTGTAACTTTCATTTGTTGTTGAAGAATTAAAGAAACCATATGTGCTCAGTACAAGATGGGCTCGGGGGCTGCCCTGGTTGGTGGCTGTAGCAAACAGAGGAGCTGTGGCCAACAAGGCAGCCCGTTGTAGCAATCTGTGGTCACAGAAAATGTTTGTGCTCCCACTGCTCATAACATAGCATTTCCCTTGAGGTTGGCATTAGGGGTTAAAGGTTTTCAAGAGAAGTCTTTGTTTAAACATCTTTAAAGTTTCCAATAGGGGCCCCTTTGTTCGCTCTGGAGCAGCGTGCCTGCCTTGTTAAAAACTCAGCACTCATAAAATGCCATTTACAAATGCCTGATGAATAGGGCTGAAACATGGAGGGGAGATAAGTAGCGTTTGTACCTACACACACACACGGGGCTTACAGACAAGCCCTACTGTGAGTGAATAAATGTGACCTAGAAAAAACACAGAAAAAGAAAAATAGATGGAGTGGTGCTCATAAAGAAACTTATAAAAGTCAGCTGCTCCCCCTGCACCACTTGGGCTCTTTTGTGCCAGATGTCTCCTCCAGCCGAGCCAGGAGGCTGAGTGGCTCCTGACACTTGTCACTACCTCTCAGTAATCATGTTTTCTCCACTTTGGGCCCAAACAGTAGCAAACTGAGCACTTGGTCTCTATCAGGAGCTCGTGCAGCTGCCATGAGGGCTGCACTGGTCTGCTGGGCAAGGGGACCCTGACTCAGTGCTCTCCATTACCTGCTGTGGCTGGTGAGCATCGCCCCCCTGTAGGAACTCACAGCACAGATGTGCCTTTGGGTGCCAGGTGATGTTTTCAGCTCTTAGAAGGCTTTGGTTCTCTCCTGTCTTGGTTAAACAGAAAGGATTTAAACCATATCTGTTAAAGCAGGAGAGGGTAGAGGTGTGTGCTCAGGAGACCCCAGAGACTGGGTCACTGCAATGGCAGCATTTCCATCTGGGATGCTCCAGACTGAGTCTTATCCTGTGTCTGAATCTTTCTTTGTTCTCACACAGCTTGTCCTTTCTGGAGTTTTTTACTGAGTCAGAATCCATCTTCCCCACCAATATTCTGTCTTTGCCTGTCTATCTGCAAACTTCTGATCCTCTCACCTTGCAAGCCCCTGCTTGCACACGAGTCCCTCCCTAGCCTGGTCCCTCAGGTGCCCCTCAGGGACATCCATGGGGCTCAGCTGCTGTCCCTTGCAGAGAAGTGGCAGTACCTTGGTTTCTCTCCAGACTTCAGCTTTTCTGTCTCTGGGCTGTGTTGTGCTTTGCCAATGTGTAAGTTCAGGAGTCATTGAGTGCAGTTTGTGGACCATAGGAGTGCATGATCTGTGGCAGGAGCCAGTGGGAGCAGGTCTGTTGACAGCAGACCCCTGTACAAGAGTCTCTGTCTGGGCCGGAAAATTAGGCAAGCTCCACACATGGAAAAACACTGCCTTTGGGAATGCACAGCTCGTACACCTGCAGCTGGACTTGGAGGGCTTCCCCAAAGTGTCAGCTGCTCTTCAGCATGGCCAGGAGGGAGGCCACAGCCACTGCTGCTGGTGACACTCTCCTCTGGTGCATCTCCTAAGGGGTCCCAGGACAGCAGATCTCCTCTGCCAGAGGGACGTGGAAGCTGTGAATTTAGGTGTGAGACATTTCCTGTGCTACCTTTGAGGTTCTCCTTGTGAGAAGTATCTACACAAAGCTTGCTTTTCTGTTCTGAGGAGGGACAAAAAGTCCCCGTGTGCCTTTCTGCAGCCGCCAAACGTTCCTCACTTTCTGCTTTTTCAATTAAACACATGGCAGGATGGGTAGGATAAAGGGGAGAGGCACAAGAATATTATCCTGGCGTGTTTTCTTATGCCAACACATTGAGTCACATCTCTAGAGTGAGAAATATGATATAAAGACTTAGGGAAGGAGGTCAGGCAATGAATCTGTGATTGCTGGGCTGGAATAGCAGGCGGTCTCTGTGGTTGTCTGTGCCATGTAAACTTCCTGGAGGTCAGCTGGGGATAGTGGTCCTAGCAGATCTGGGAGACAGATGTCCTGCTAGTAACTATCAATCTCATACCAGCTCTGCTGCATCAGGAGCTTAGCTGACAAATTCTGCACCAGCCCAGTAGCTAATCTGGGCCATGACTTTTCCTTTGTGGTTGAACATGCATATTTCTGGGGAAAAAAATGCTAACACCTTCCTCCCAAAACAAGGACTTGGGCAATGGATTGCTGCGTCAGTTTCTGGATGGCCAGGACATCCTTCTCTCCAGAGTTTGAAGTCTCTTGGCCCAGCTCAACTGTCCTCCAAGGACCTGTTTGCAGAATAGCATTTGCTTTTTAAAGAGAGTCAATAAGGTGGATCTGTCCACTGTTGATCACTCTTCATCAAAATCAGAGTACTCCAGTTTTGTTGAAAATAGCAGTTAGGAGCTGGGCTGAGTTTTCCTGTTGTGCAGCTCGGGACAAGTGTAGCCTAAAGGTCTTGAATGGGACAGGGAGGAACAGAGAAATGGCACCAGCAGTCCTGAAACAGGAGCCATCTCTGACACGATTAGTGGAACAAGGAGATTTGGCAGATGTGTTTTCCTCTTGGCTAGATCTTTAACATTTTAATTTGCAAGCGAATGTGGCTTTTATCTGTGGCAGCTGTGGCTGAAGCAGCCCAGGTACAGCTTGTTTCAGTGCAGGGCTGTCTGGGCAAGAGGCTTTCCTGCCAGGTGAGTGACAGAGCACTGGGAGGTCTTTTAGAGATAGATTGAGGCAGAAAAAGACCCCGTGTGCTGTTGTGGAGAACATCTAGGAGGGGATGCTCTGTCCATTGCTACATCCAGCATTTCCTTCCCAAGGGGACTTCAAATGTCATGTCACGGTATAAACCTGCCAGGACTTGAGTCCTTGAGCTGTGAGTCAAAGGCCTCTGTTACTGCAAAAGGACCTGGGCAAGAAATGTCTTCCTCCTGCCCTCCCTGTGAATACACAGGAGTGGGTCCCATGAAATGGGGAATAGGCTTTTGTGGGGAGCAAGCAGAGCAAAAGAGACGTTCCTTCTGCATCCAGCAAGGCTTTCCTGTTACAGCACTCCTGCTGATTTGCTCCTGTTGGGTTTGGAGCCTTGATGTGCTGTTGGAGAAATACAGCCTTGTTTTTCAAACAACGTGTCCTTCCAGGTGGCACTTGGCCCAGTAAAGCTGCCATGGAGTTGTAACCGGAGAGCTCTGTGATGTCCTGGAAAGAGTCTGCTCTGCTTCTCCCACATGTGTTTGGGAAAAACCAAGGACACATCAGTCCTTAAATAGGGGGAAAAACCCCTTTTGGGCTGGAAAATCTTGCCATTTCCATGGTCTTGATGTGCTTGTGGTCCCTGAGTCTTCCTTGCTCTAAAAACTGCATTGCTGTCCTCTCTGATTTGCCTTTTGTCACCCAGCTGCTGTGGGGGATGAGCACTGAGATTTTGGAGCTGTGATTGAGTGTAAGATCAGTGCTGCCTGTAAGATGGTCCTGAGGCTGGATTCAGTGCTTGTGAGCAGCAGAGGTAGCACTGAGAGCTGGGCATCTGCAAGCAGAGAGCACCTTGAGATTGGGGATTATGCTGAGAGAAACCAACCCTTGGGCAACTCTCCAGGGGAGGGTGGATCCAGCTCCAGGCTCTCCCAGGCCTCATTCTTTCACTTGCAGACTGCTTGCAGGTCTTGCAAATACAATGTGCCAGCAATTCATCCATGTCTCTACAACAAATTTTGGCATGAGAGGTGCCTCCAGGATGATGTAAGTTGTCTGCATCTCTCCAGGTAGCTCTGGTTGCTTCACTGTCCCCTGGGGCAAGGCACACTTCAGTCTTCCTCCCTTGGTCCCACATGCATTTTTGGGCAGCCTTTCTCTCAGGCATGGACCAGAAGGATGATGACATCATGATTTTTTCTCCCATCCTCCAGCTTGAGGGTGCTCTTGCTGTCTTTCTGCTGTTGTCCTGGCAGAACTCAGGTGTCCTAAGTGAAAGGACTCAGGGCTGGCACTCCTGGCCATATTTTTGATTGGGTTTTTTGAAACGTTCATCAAATAACACTGGTGGAATTGAACTTCTCAAAACTGCCTGGTTGGGTGTCTGCAAAGAAAAGCTCTGCAGAGCAAAGGAGGGTGCATGGAGAGGCAGATGAGGAGGGTGAATTTCACCAACATTGTGTCTAGGGCTGCTCTACCATTGCCCAAGGCTTCCAGCACAGAAATAGGTGCTGTTAGCACGTGTGGCATCAGTGCCCTGCACCCTGCCGTGTGTGCCTGGACCTGCTGTGTGTGCCTCCTCCTTGCACAGCCCTGCTGCATGGGACAGCCCTCTGGCCTGGCTGGTGCTTGCTCACAGGCTCCCAGCTCTTCCCCACTCCTTGCAGCTCACGGTGATCCCTTGTCCTGGCTTCTTGCAGGGTCTGGAGCCAGCATGGCTCCATAGCCTTGGTCCACAACCTGCTTTCCTCCTTGTGACACTACTGTCAGGGCTTTTCCTGGGCTGTGAATGCACTGCCACCTCTCCTTTCCCATCTGTTTCATCCCTCTGCAGCTCAGAGAGCCCCATCCCTGTAACAGCAGGGAGGGCAGGAGCTGGCAGCATTCCTCACCCGCCCCCTGCCATGCCCTGTCCTGTGCCTTGCCCAAGGCAGGCTGTGCCCATGTCCAACCTGTCACCGTCTGCATGAGCCAGAAGGGGAATATTCAGAGTATTTCTGTTAACCTGTAGCCAGGAGAGAGCTGCCAAGGAGGCCACGCTGAAACCTGAGGCGGCTGTTTTTCCTGAGACTCAGCATTTGGCAGGGAGAGCAGGCGGACAAGTGGTGGAGCAGGGAGGGATGCAATTGCCCTGGGGAGCAGCATTGCCGGGAGAGGTGCCCAGGGAAGGTGTGCTGGCTTACCTGTTTGTCTCTGGGGGTCCATCTCCATGTCCTCCTGGGCTGAGATCATGTGTAGAGTGAAGAGGAGGTGACCCTTCTGTCCTTACATGTGGCTTTCCCCTTGGTCACCCTCCTTGCATCATGTACTGAGCATCTCCTCCAGCAGCGAAGAGCAATAACTGTTTCTCCACAGAAATGTCAGGAATGGTCCCAGGGCCCTCTCAGCTCATCTGCAGGGTTCGGCTGAGCCAGCCCAGGCAGCAGCACTCACCTTGCCTGGATCTTTTTCCTTTATAGCTCAGTGTTATCTCAAGGTCTCTGGCAGTGCCGCCGGCGCTGTTTGCCTTGTCCTGCAGCACCTGCCTGCCAGCCGCTCGCTTCCCACCACGGCCCTCCCACCTCTGCAGGGCGAGGAGGGGTGCTGGGCACCCCTCAGGGGTGAGCAGTCCCTCTGCAGGGGTGCAAGTCAGCCCCAGGGAAGTGAGGGCACAGGGAAGTTGCCAAGTGTGGGATGGTGGGAGAGACAGTGGGGGACATCTGTCCCATCATCTTTGTTTCCCCATCCCTTTGCTGCTGGGGCAGGACTGGGCATTAAATTGAATCAGGGACCAGGACTCTGTCCCAGCCTGGTGTCTGCTGCCAGGACAGAATATGACTGAGCTGCCATGCCCTGCCCTGTCCAGGCAGCATCAGCCCTTCCAGCTGTGGGGAAAGCCAAAGCTTCATCCAAAAGCTGAGATGATGTTAAATATAGATCAGTCGAGAACTGGTTTTCTCCTTCTTGGTTCCTGGCCCAACAGCTCATTCCTCCCTCTGGGCTGTCTTTGAAACTCTCTGGATGCTGTGAGACACAGGCTCCGTAGCAGCCTGCCACTGCAGGGAGGTGTGGGGAGAAGAGAGCTGCAGGAATGGTCTAGGTGGCACAGCTGTCCCAAAAGTATTTAGTGGTTTGTGAGTGCTTTCTCCCAGGAAAGAAGCAGCACTGGAAAAAGAATCTAAGGAATAAATAGGGAAACAAAGCTGGGGGAGGAGCCCTCTTTGCCTCTCTGCTTGCTTGTGGTGAGGGGCACAGGTGTCTGAGCAATCCTGGCCACACAGCAGAGCTCACTCACCCCTGCCCCCTGGAAAAGACCTGCCAGGCTGCTGTCCCTGCTCATCCCCTCAGCCAGAGCGATCCCACTGGTCCTGCACGGCTCTGCAGGAGCTCCTGGCACTGCTGCAAAGTCACTGTGTCCCAAGCTGCTCCCGGCCTGGTGGGCTCTCCCCTCCAGGGAAAGGCCACGTCTCTCACTTTGAGACGGGTGTTCTGGATCCCAGTATCCTCCAGTACCCCTCTTCTGTCCTCCTGATTCTTTAATGTAGTTTTCCAGGTGTGAACACTGAGTCTCGAGACAGTTTTAAGATGCAGCTGTGAAACCTATTATCAATGTCCCTGCTATCAAAGACATGGTGTTCAGGGCTGCACGTAACCACTGAGCAATTAAACAGCAACCCTGGTGATGAATTACAGCTGAGACCTCCTGGGGCTAAATAAATACTGGCTGATAACTACCGATAAAATGAATTTTTGTGTGTTTTTTCTTAAAAGCACCCTTCCAATATCCATGCCCAGTCCTGGCACTGCACATGTCCTGGGGAGAGTCACATTATCTGTGGCATTTCCATCCCTAGCACTTGGGTTTCCAACCAGAGCTGGAATAAAAATAAACTAAAGAAATCCACGTCCCTGCAGGAGCCAGGAAAGACAAGGCAAGGAAAGACAACACAGAGGTGGGCAGGGAGGGAGAGAAGTGAGAAGCTGAGGTTTTGGGTAACAAGTTTAAATATCTTTTCCCCCACTGATTCCACCCTAAAGACATAAAAATACTGTTGAAGTGCAGAGTATCCCTTGGAAAAACCTTTGGGACAGGGAGAGGTGCAGAGTGCTGGTGGCAGAGTGGTGGGGAGCCCGAGGTGATGTGAAGGAGAGCAGCAGCTGGCAGTGCTTCACCCAGCACCTGCCCAGGGGAGAGGTGTGAGCCCACCTGCACAGGTACCCTTGCACCCTCTGCCTGCAGAGGCTTCTGCTCTCCCAAGGGAGTTTGGAAACAGGCAGAGAATGGACCTTCTTGGAAAAATGATCTTTGCCAGTGACTTGGTGAGACTTCTGAGCAGGTGTTGTCTGTGCTGGCATCTGGGGGCTTCTCTTCTCATGCAGGAGTATCAGGAGGGCTGGTGCTCTGCATCCCTGCATGCAGCTTTCCCACTCTCCGTGGCTGCAGAGAACAGCCACACAGTCAGGGAAAAAGCATTTGGCTGAACATCCCATCTGCCTGGTTTGCAAGTGAAAATAAGGCTTGTCCAATGGCCAGCTCCACCCAGAGCAGAAAATCAGACCCTTTGGCAGAGTGCTGCTACTGTAATGAAATTGAGCTGTGCTGAGACTGCCAGTCCTTGGAACAGGAAAGACTCCGTTTGGATTCAGAGAAGTTTGGGGATGGATCTGTCAAAACTGCTGCTGTTCAGGGTTTTTGGCACTGCCTGGGGACCCCACCACAGGAGAATGTTGCCTGTGGCTGAGCTCACCCTCAGCACTGATTGCACCTTGTCTTCTCCCTGCAGCACATCCTTCCAGCACTGGAACTCTCTGCTCTCCCAGAGCCATCATGAAGCTCCTGCCTGCTGCCCCTCTCCTGCTGCTTCTCCTGACAACACTGGAAGCCAGACCAAAACCTGCAGGTGAGCCCTGGCTGGTGGGGAGTGCATGGAGGGGAGAGAAGTGAGGACATAGGGCAGTGGAGCCCTCGGAGCACAGTTTGCTGTGTGACGTGGGGGGACATGATGCCTCTTCTTTGGGAACATCCCCAGGAGGATCCCCCCAGCAGTGGGACACAAACTTCCTGACCCCAGCATGGTGTCTCTGGTGCTTCTTGCTCTGGGCACCTCCTCAGCTGTGACACAGCCCTGCCCAGGGCTTGTCACCCTCCAGGCCATGGGCCGTGACCTTGGCAGGAGGCACAGCTGTGAGAGAAAGACTTCTCCTTGCTTGACTCTCCAAGCACAGGGGACAAAGCAAACCCAGAGGTGCCAGCCTCTCTCCTCCCAGGACAGAGAGATCTAAATCAATTTTAGTTTAAAAACAGTGAAGGCACAAAGTAGAGAAAGGAGCAGATATGTCTCAGAGACTTACAGAGCAACTGAGATTTTCATCATCCCAAAGGCACTGAAAGCATTTCCTTATGATTAGGGCCCAATTCTCCCAGCAAAATAAGTTCATTGGCATTTCACTTGCTCAACCCTCTCCCAGTTTGCACTGGAGGCAGCATCCTTATGCTCAAGATAAGCTCTTTGGCACAATCTCTGCCAAGTGTGTGCCCTTAGCTTTGCTTTTTACTGTCTCATTTTCTGCCCTTAAAAAAACACAACCACAACAACCCACAGCCAGGGGATGTCTCCCCAGCCTGTTGGCCCTGCTTCCAGTCTGTCACCACCTTCTGTGGATTCACTGGGCAGTGAAAGGTGCCGGTCTGTGGGGGCTGCCCAAACCTGCTCTCTCCATCCCTCATGAGCAACCCCCAGCCAGCAGGCAGAGATCTCTCTGCTCCCTGCAGACAGCCACAGGACTGAGCCTTCTCTTTGCCTTCTCCTCAGCACTGAAGTGCAGGACGGGTCCCCTGGACATCGTGTTTGTGATCGACAGCTCGCGCAGCGTGCGCCCCTTCGAGTTCGAGACCATGCGGCGCTTCATGATGGACATCATCGGCAGCCTGGACGTGGGCCCCAACGCCACACGGGTGGGGGTGATCCAGTACTCCAGCCAGGTGCAGAACATCTTCTCCCTCAAGACCTTCTTCACGCGGGCAGAGATGGAGAGAGCCATCAACAGCATCGTCCCGCTGGCCCAGGGCACCATGACGGGGCTGGCCATCCAGTACGCCATGAACGTGGCCTTCACCACGCAGGAGGGCGCGCGCCCTCTGCACAAGAGGATCCCGCGCATCGCCATCGTGGTGACGGACGGGCGGCCCCAGGACCGTGTCACCGAGGTGGCCACCCAGGCCCGCAACGCCGGCATCGAGATCTACGCCGTGGGAATCCAGCGGGCGGACATGAACTCTCTGCGGGCCATGGCCTCCCCGCCGCTGGAGGAGCACGTCTTCCTGGTGGAGTCCTTCGAGCTCATCCAGCAATTTGCCAAGCAGTTCCAGGACAAACTTTGTGGTGGGTGAGAGCTGCTGCTGCTGAGTGGCAAGGGGGGCACTTGTGTCTGCTCCTCACCCAGGCCAGACCTTCAGAGGGGTGTCTGGGGTGGCTGCCCCTGGCAGAAGCAGGATGGAGGGGGAAGCAACCTCCCCAGTGAGGCGCCAGGACAGGGCACTGCACAGTGTCTGTGTGCTGGAAATCAGAGGGGGAGCACTGGGGCTGGCAGGGCTGGGGCTGTGTGGGTTGTCACACTGACCTCTGCTGCAGGGACAGGGCATATGCCAGAGCCAGGGTGCTCATGTGTCTGGCGTGCCTGTGGGCCACTCTGATGCCCGTTCTGTCTTGCAGGGGTGGACATGTGCGTGGAGCGGGAGCACGGCTGCCAGCACAGCTGCGTCAGCACCCCTGGCTCCTTCTACTGCGAGTGCAACCCAGGCTACAGGCTCAATGTGGATGGAAAGACCTGCTCCCGTAAAAACCCTTTTTATTTTCTGAACTTTCATAGGGAGCTTGTAGTTATGGGTCCCACGGAGGGAAGCTGGCACACAGCAGAGGATTGAGGGAGACCAGCAGCAGCCTGAGTGCTCTGTTCACTGGGCCCACTGCCTCCCGGGTCTGTAATGCCTGCAGACATTCAGCATTACTAAATCCTGGCCACCTCTCTTAAATGGGACACTCGTGACTTATGTGGGCACAGCCAGCTGCCTGTCAGCTGAGGGCGTCCAGGCAGCGAGTACCAGAGGGTTCACACCCCAAAGTGCGCAGTGCTTTTCCCTGGATTTTAATGCAAAGCCATGTTAGTTGGTCTGACCACCACACCAGGACTTTTCCTTCTTGTTTCACGGTGCTGGGAGCTGCTTCGAAGCCCTGGAGCAGTCGTGCCCTGCTGCCCCAGGGAGGCTGGGCCAGGAGGGTGATGGGTGTCCCGTTGCCCCGCAGCCATCGATGCGTGTGCGGACGGGAGGCACGGCTGTCAGCACCACTGCGTCAGCGTGCGCGGCTCCTACTCCTGCCGCTGCCGGCCGGGTTACCAGCTCAGCCACAACAAGAGGAGCTGCACGCGTAAGTGACTGTCTCCCTCCCTGACCCTTCTTTGTTTGCTTCCCCTTCTTTCTCTCGTCTGGTCTTTTCCTTTCTGCCATCGCTCTCCTTGTCTCCGCAGTGATTGATTACTGCAGCTTCGGGAACCACAGCTGCCAGCACGAGTGTGTGAGCATCCCCAACGGGCACTACTGCCGCTGCCGCAGCGGCTTCACGCTCCAGCCCGACAGCAAGTCCTGCAGGGGTAGGTCCCGGCGTGCTGCACGGCACAGGCTGTGTCTATGGCACGTGCCTTTATGTCCTGCCCAGCCTCCAGGGAAGGGCTGTTCCCAGACCACCCTGAATGGGGATAACCCCATGCCCTCGGCTTGTCTTCCAGCCACTGACCTCTGCAACGGGGTGGATCACGGCTGTGAGTTCAAGTGTGTGAGCACAGAGGGCTCCTACCACTGCGTGTGCCCCGAGGGCCAGCAGCTCCAGGCTGATGGCAAGACATGCAGCAGTGAGTACTGGGACACTGGGACACCCCTTGACATTCTCCTTATCTGGGCTCTGTGCTCCTGGAGAGAGCTCACCTGAAACTGGGCTGAGGGGCTCTCTCGCCACTTGGGACTCTAAGCTAGGCTGGAAGAGGGTGGAGAGCCGGCTGTGGTTGGAGGAACACCCTGGCTGCTGTGGGGATGGATGCTTGTGTCCTCAGAGACATGGCCCAGAAGATGCAACGGCTTTAAGGAAAACTTTGGGAAAAGAGAAACCTAGGCAAGACTTTCATGGGGTGTTGGGATATCAGTGGAGGTTTTTGGGCTGAGTCCCTTGGGCATAGTCTGCTCTCCTTCCCAGCTGCAGTTCCAGGGTGTTCCCACAGTGTGCTGCAGCCCCAGAGCTCAGCCCCAGCCCTTCACTCTGACAGTGGCCATGGCCAGGCTGCTCCTCTGTCACCTTCCCCTGTCCCTGCAGAGTGTGGAGCTGGGCACGTCGACCTTGTGATGGTGATCGACGGTTCCAAGAGTGTGCGGCCCCAGAACTTTGAGCTGGTGAAGCAGTTTGTGAACCGCATCGTGGACCTGCTGGAGGTGTCCCCCCAGGGCACTCGGGTGGGACTGGTGCAGTACTCCAGCCGCGTGCGCACCGAGTTCCCCCTCAACAAGTACCACAGCGCCGATGAGATCAAGAAGGCGGTGATGGATGTGGAGTACATGGAGAAAGGCACCATGACAGGCCTGGCCCTCAAGCACATGGTGGAGCACAGCTTCTCTGAGCTGGAAGGTGCCAGGCCTCTCTCCCACAACATCCCCAGAATCGGGCTGGTCTTCACAGATGGACGCTCCCAGGATGACATCTCCGAATGGGCCAGGAGAGCAAAGGAATCAGGTGCAGGGGAGGTTGGGAACCCCAAATTGCAGTGTTTTGGGCATCCTGGGATGGTTCCTTGGTGTGGCTGTCTCAGTGAAAAGCTGCAGCATCCAGTCTTGGGGAGCTGCATCCCATGGCAGACGTGCTCTGTTATGGCCACAGGGTGCTCTGAGCAGCATCCTTTATGCTGCAGCCCCCACCACGTCAGTGCTGCCACTCCTGCCTTTCCTTCCCAAATTCCTGCTGTATCTTTGGGAAGCCCAGAGAAAATCCTGCCTCCTTGCCTTTGCTCCCTCTGGGCTTGCTGCAGGGTGGCCAGCACAGTGCTCAGGATCTGTCCTTGCCACGCAGGGATTGTCATGTTTGCCGTGGGTGTTGGAAAAGCTGTGGAAGAAGAGCTGAGAGCGATCGCCTCTGAGCCAGTGGAGCAGCACTTCTCCTATTCTGCAGACTTCACCACCATGACCCACCTTGTGGAGAACTTCTCCCTGAACATCTGCCCAGGTGGGTGCTCCTGGCCACACCAGGGGACTTGACCCCAAGCCAGGGAAAGCCCTTCTGTCCCCGCAGAGCCAGCGGGGTGGTTTGTGTGTCTGTCACCCTGTGTCAAGTACCCCAAGGCTGAGCTGGGCTGGTGTGAGCCCAGACTGTCACAGGATCTCTCCAGGCTCTTGTGGGTGTAGATGTGGGTCTCTGGGAGGGATTTGGAAGAGGAGAAGGTGAAGCTGGGGGAATTAATTAAAAATCAGGAGGGGTTAATACAAAAGTATTAATGTGATCAAACACCCCTGTACCATTGCATGGGCAGAATTTGGGAGTGGCACCCTGCCTTGTGGGATGTTCTGAAGGTGGCCTGTGCACCTTGTTCAGACCTGTGCACTTTGTTCAGACCTGTGCACCTTGTTCAGACCTGTGCTTCTGCTGCTGCAGGGTTACTGTGAGGGTCTCCCTGCCCTGGGACAGGCTGGGGCTCCCCAGTGCCCTTGAGACCCTCACCCGGCTGCAGATACAGAGCCAATGTGCCCCCTGCCACTCCAGCTTGAAGGCAAAGTGAAGCTCAGCACTGTTGGCTGTCCTTGGCACACTGTGACCACATGTGTGGCAGCTCTGTGGGATGCCTGGCAGAGCTTGCTGGATCAGCAGGGCAGCCTGACAGAAAGCAGAGAGGCTGAAAAAAGAGGGCAAAATGGTGGGGAGAGCCCTGAGGCCCGGTGGGTGGCTGCAGGGACAAGGGACCTGTCTGGGAGCAAGGCAGAGCGGGCACTGTGGGGCCATGGTGTGACAGCAGCCAAACCCCCCTGTCACAGAGGAGGGCAAAGGGGAGACGGAGATCCGCAGCCCGTGCGAGTGCGAGGCGCTGGTGCAGTTCCAGACCAACACCGTGGCCATCCTGCAGAGCCTGACCGAGAAAAATATCCTTTGGGGTGATGCCTGGGCCTGTCAGGGTGCTGAGGACAGAGCGCACATGGGGGAGGGAGGGATAGGTAGATGGGAGAGGGGAAATTTTAGGCTCTTTTAAGGGAATAAAGCCTTTGCCCAGCAGACTGTCTGGCTCAGAGAGTTTCCTTAGCACATTCACTTGCTCAGATGACAGCCAGACTTGAAGACCTGGAAAAGCAGATTGCCAACAAGAAGTGATCCTGGCAGAAGGCTGCAGTGCTTGGGCACGGGGATGGATGTACAGTAGCTACATGACTTTGTTATTGCTAGGTTATTGTAAAGCATCAGTGTTTGTTCTTGTATTGCAAAATCCCCAGGGGGCTGTATTTAAAAAACTCAAAAATCCTAAAAACACACAAAAAGGAACTTGAACAAAGCCCCTGCTGCAAAGCCAAGGGGTTCAGTTGTCGTTCCTTGGCAGGTCTGGGATGAGGGGGAGCAATGATGTGGGCAGGCTGGTCATTGTACAGACATGAGTGTCCCCCAGAGTGACTGGGATGGCACGGTCCCCCTGGACCCTGGCAGACTGCTTTGCAAGAGAAAAAACTTACAGTGGTGTCACCTTGAGAGCCTCTGGTGTCTCAGCATCGGCTGCCAAGTGGTGGGGCAAGGACAGCTGGGTGGAGCAGGCAGCACAGCGATGCCTGATGCCCAGCTGGCCCCAGCGTGGTGCCCAGGAGGGATCCCATGGGAAGATGGGCGGCAGGAATTCTTAGATCCCATTGCCCTGGTTTGGCAGAATAGTTTGGAAATTGGCTTTAATCTTGTTTGGTTTTATAATCACATAGCAAAATGGTAATTATTCTTTCTATCAGTATCTATGTGTGTGTGTATATATATATGTATATTTAATTCCGAGAGCAGGGTAGTGCTGTTTTTAAACTCTTGTTTTATATAAAGGAATCTCTGTCCTGACAATAAACACCCTGAAGATTTGTATGACATGTCCCTTTCCTTTCAGCTGGGCTGCAGGGTGACAGATGTACCTCTGTGTCAGAGTGGAGTCTCTGGCTTTTGCAGTAGCTCCTGTCTCCAGGATCCAGCAATCCTCTGGGGAAATTTTTGTTCTGTGGCACCCCAAGGTGCTGCAGGCCTGGCCCCAGCTGGAGGGAGCCAGTGTGGCACAGACACTGTGTCCCCATGGGCAGGGCTTGCTTTGGAACCTCTGCTTGTAGGAGCACAGGGAGCTGGGAGCTGAGCTGGGCATGGAGCCACAGCCTGGCCAAGGTGCCCATTGAGCTGCTCTGGGGTGGGTGCTGAGCAAAGGGACACCCAGGATCTGCTCCTGTGGATCCCTGCAGACTCACAAAGAGCCACCCCTGGCAGCAGGACTCTGCTCGGGGCAGTCTCCTTTCTCTTGATTTTATCCCTCAGCACAAGCACACAAAAAGGAACTTGAACAAAGCCCCTGCTGCAAAGCCAAGGGGTTCAGTTGTCGTTCCTTGGCAGGTCTGGGATGAGGGGGAGCAATGATGTGGGCAGGCTGGTCATTGTACAGACATGAGTGTCCCCCAGAGTGACTGGGATGGCACGGTCCCCCTGGACCCTGGCAGACTGCTTTGCAAGAGAAAAAACTTACAGTGGTGTCACCTTGAGAGCCTCTGGTGTCTCAGCATCGGCTGCCAAGTGGTGGGGCAAGGACAGCTGGGTGGAGCAGGCAGCACAGCGATGCCTGATGCCCAGCTGGCCCCAGCGTGGTGCCCAGGAGGGATCCCATGGGAAGATGGGCGGCAGGAATTCTTAGATCCCCTTGCCCTGGTTTGGCAGAATAGTTTGGAAATTGGCTTTAATCTTGTTTGGTTTTATAATCACATAGCAAAATGGTAATTATTCTTTCTATCAGTATCTATGTGTGTGTGTATATATATATGTATATTTAATTCCGAGAGCAGGGTAGTGCTGTTTTTAAACTCTTGTTTTATATAAAGGAATCTCTGTCCTGACAATAAACACCCTGAAGATTTGTATGACATGTCCCTTTCCTTTCAGCTGGGCTGCAGGGTGACAGATGTACCTCTGTGTCAGAGTGGAGTCTCTGGCTTTTGCAGTAGCTCCTGTCTCCAGGATCCAGCAATCCTCTGGGGAAATTTTTGTTCTGTGGCACCCCAAGGTGCTGCAGGCCTGGCCCCAGCTGGAGGGAGCCAGTGTGGCACAGACACTGTGTCCCCATGGGCAGGGCTTGCTTTGGAACCTCTGCTTGTAGGAGCACAGGGAGCTGGGAGCTGAGCTGGGCATGGAGCCACAGCCTGGCCAAGGTGCCCATTGAGCTGCTCTGGGGTGGGTGCTGAGCAAAGGGACACCCAGGATCTGCTCCTGTGGATCCCTGCAGACTCACAAAGAGCCCCCCCGGCAGCAGGACTCTGCTCGGGGCAGTCTCCTTTCTCTTGATTTTATCCCTCAGCACAAGAGTGCCTTTAGTTCCTTTCAGCGGATAACACAAAATTCCCCTCTGCTCCCCATGGAGCTGCAGCCCCCCCAGGACCCATCCCTGCCTCCAGCTCTGGGGTCCTGGGCACAGGAAGGACTTGGAGCTCTTGGAGTGAGTGCAGAGGAGGCCATGGGGGTGCTGCAAGGGCTGGAGCCCCTCTGCTGTGAGGAAAGGCTGGAGGAGCTGGGGATGCTCAGCCTGGAGAAGAGAGGACCATGGAGGGGCCTCCCTGCAGCCATGAAGGGCTTGAAGGGTCCCTTAGGAAAGATGGGGACAGAGTGTTCAACAGGGTCTGTGATGGGGAAAGAAGGGGGGATGGCTTTCAGCTGCAGGAGGCTGATTCGGGTTAAAATGAATGTGTTCTTTTACACTGAGGATTGTGAGGCACACACCCAGGCTGTGCACAGAAGCTGTGGATGCTCCATCCCTGGGAACATCCATGACCAGGGGGAGAGGACTCTGTCTGGTCTGGTGGGAGGTAGCTCAGGTTGGAATAAGATGATCTTCAGGGTCCATTCCAGGGCAAACTAATCAGGGTGGTCACCATCACACACAGCAAAGTGGGTGTTACTGCACTCAACAGGAAATACTTTTCAGAACCAAACCTTTTCAGAAACCCGACTGCTGGAGCAGGTCTTAGCAGCAAACAACCACTGACTGTCTCCCCATCTGCACCAGCCTGCCCCCTGCTCTGAGAGTATCTCTGTCACCAAGTCCCGGACACTGTAGGGACTGAATGGTCAGTCCTGAACGGTCTCTGCTGCCTGGACCTAGCCACCCATCCCTGCAGGAAGCCCACTTTTGTCCCAAAGAAGGTACAGTGCCATTCCATGGAGGAGGACATCCCCAAACTGCCTGGATGGGCTGGAGCTCTGTGGGGTTGGTGTGGGACAGGGACCCCACTCTGAGGTTTTGTTCCCTATGCAGGCTGTCACTGACACTGAGGAGGAGATGGAAACTGATATGAAGGTTGATAGAGAAGAGAGTATGGCTACAGATGTTGAAGAGAATAGAGATGAAAAAATGGAGGTGGATGTGGAGAAGGAGATGGAGGAAGACATGGAAGTGGATCTGGAGGAGGAGATGGTGGAAGAGATGGAGGTGGAAATGGAGGATTATGTTGAAGACATGGAAGTGGATGAGAAAGGTGAGGAGGAGGACCTTGGGGTGGTCTTGGGATGAAGATGGAGCCCAGCAGCAGCACAGGCAGGTGCTGGCCGTGCCCTGCCCACAGGCAGGCTGGGTCCCCTGCTGCCAGGCTGGGGCTGGGCTGGGCTGGGTGGCCCCACTCAGGGACACGGTGCCCAGGGGTCCCTGGGTTCTGGTGGCACAAGCAGCACCCCAGCCTGCCCTGTGCTTGCTTTGGGCCACGCTTTGGGTACCACTGCCTGGGGCCCTGCCCTCAGCCCCAGCCAGGCTCCGTGCTGGCAGCAGAGCCCTGCTGTGCCAGCGTGTCCCAGCCTGGGGACACAGGGAACAGCCCTCTGTGCCTGACTGGAGTGACCTTGTCGCTTGCTTTTCTTCCAGGACGGATGGAGATGCCGGGCAGGGATGCCACCCTTCTGGATATGTATAGAGTGTTCTTCAGTAGTCTTCTGTATATATGTTTTAGAGAGTGCTGTTGTCTTTTGTAAATATGTTTCCATATATAATTGTTACATAGGTTCTTATGTAAATATGTTTTATAGTTTGTTTTCTTTATAGGAATTATTACAGTATAAATACATATGTTAGATGTGTAACTTGTGGCTCTTCTCGAACCATTATTTTGATACCCCCGCTCTCCTTCTGTTTGAGTTGGTGACAACCTGTGATTGTGATTTCCTTTTACACTTTGTGATTTCCTTGGAACATTGTGGTTTCCTCTTTCCAGATTCCCCAGTTTTGAGGTGTCTGGGTAAGCTGGGTTGGGGGTACCTGCGCACAGAGTAGGTCCCACTTAAAGGTCTGTACACTTTTTGTATGTGTAAAGGCAGCTCCCACAGGGCCCTTTCCCGTGGGATTCCTTCTGGGAGCAGGGCTGATCCTGCGTGGTCCTGCAGATCCTCATCAGTGACACTTCACTAGGTGGCACCAGACACCAGCGCTGGGAGCGTGAGGCTGGGCTGCGGGCACCCCGAGCTGGCCCGGGGCTGAGGGGAGCTCCCTGAGCCATGAGCTGGGCAGGGATGGAGGGATGGATGGATGGGTGGCAGGCTGAAAGGTCTGCATCACCTGGTGGGGCACAAGCTGTTCCTGGGGGGCTTATCCCCCAGGGTAAGGTTGGGGGATCAGGGGCTACTGGTCTCCCTCCTTTCCCTTCCCAGGGAATACAGACTGCAGAGCCTTGCTCTGGCTGGGAGAATGCAGCATCTGCCACAACACTCTCAAGCATTGCACACCTGGGGCCTTGCAGCTTCGGGAGGAGGGACACTTCATGGAGAAGAGCATGAGCCATGTGGAATGGGAACTGCTCTGGGGAGTGCTGGGGCAATGGGTGCTGCACAAGTAACAGAATGCAACACGAGGACTGCAGGCAATTTTCTGCAGGCCCAGAAACACTGGGTCCTGGTTCTTTCATGTGAGTTTGTAACAAAAAGAGTTCACACTTTCCCCTCTGCTGTGAATGTTCTTCAGGTGAATTTGTTTCCCTCCCTCATCCCTTCCATCTTCTCTGCAGCTTAATCCAAGCCTTGGTCCTTGATATTTTCTCCTCCCTTGGAGGCATAGGTCCAAGCACAACCTCAGCCAGATTCTGGCACCAGCTGGGAGCACAGCAATGTCCTCTCCA